CTTAAGTTATTCTTTTATAATGACTAATCATTCTTATATTAAAAATCCCCTGGGCCAGGCGTGGTGGCTCACACCTGTAATCCTAGCACTCTGGGAGGCCGAGGCAGGAGGATCGTTTGAGCTCAGGAGTTCGAGACGAGCCTGAGCAAGAGCAAAACCCCGTCTCTACTAAAAAAATAGAAAGAAATTGGCTGGACAACTAAAAATATATAGAAAAAATTAGCCGGGCATGGTGGCACATGCCTGTAGTCCCAGCTACTCGGGAGGCTGAGGCAGAAGGATCGCTTGAGCCCAGGAGTTTGAGGTTGCTGTGAGCTAGGCTGACGCCACGACACTCTAGCCGGGGCAACAGAGTGAGACTCTATCTTAAAAAAAAGAAAAAAAATCCCCTGTTCAACCTACTGTCTGATGTCTATCTCCTGATTGGACCCAAATTGCTGCAGAATTGGTATTGGGAGTGGTCTCAGAAGACAGAGGCCTAAACATGGGACTTTGAGATTGCTTTGGTTGTGCCCTTGAGCTTGAGTACAGTGCTCAAGTAGAAACCAGCAAAATAGAATGAGAAGGAGTAGCCAGAAAAAAAGGAAAACCAGAATAGCTTGATGTCTTGGAAGACAAGAAAGTATATCAAGAAATATATATGAAGTATGGGGCAAAGGCAATATATGTAACCTAAACATCTGTACCCCCGTAATATGCTGAAATAAAAAAATAATAAGAAGAATAAAATAATAAAAAGAAAAGAAAAGTATGTGAAGGAAAAAAAGCATTAACACATAAAATGTCCATCTTCTTGCCTATGTTCATTTCTAAGGCATAAAATACCATAAGGTTTATAGGGGAATGGGGTTATGGAGCGGGGGAAGAAGGAGAAAGGCATTCCAGGCTGAGAGAACAGCAACTTCCAAAGGAAAGAAACTAACAAGGTATTTGGATATCAGATAATAAAGGATTCCTCAAAGACTCTTCTTTCCTTTTATGATGAATTACTTCAAGTTCTTTTTCACAAGTTAACTCGTTTTCAGAAACAAGTGTTTCCTATCATTGGCCATAGACAGGATGACTCCCTCTCTGCTCCCTGTCTCACAGCTCACTGTGGTTTTATTATACCCTGATTGCATTGCCTCATAACTGTGTGCCTGCCAATCACTAGTCTGAAAATTCTTTGAGATTATTAATTTCTGTAAGTCCAACGTTTTCCAACCAGTGGTAAAATTGACTCCTTTCGCTTCTGTTGCTTATACCCTTCCTAAATTGCTCAAGGAACTATACGCATCTCAAAGACAGAGATTTGATTTCCTACTTTTTGCATTGCTCAACAAATAGTAGACTTAAAATTAAGTGGAAAATAGGAGAAAAAGAATTCATTGACAATTAGAGTTATCTATTTTTCTTTTTTAGAGATGGAGGTCTCACTCTGTCACCCAGGCTGGAGTGCAGTGGCATGATCATAGTTCACTGCAGCCTTGTACTCTTGGGCTCAAGAGATCCTCCTGCCTCAGCCTCCTGAGTTGCTGAGATTATAGGCATGAGCTACCATGCCCAACCAGAGTTATCTATTTTTTGAAATACTACTTGTAGGCTGGGCGTGGTGGCCCATGCTTGTAATCCCAGAACTTTCGGAGGCTACAGCTGGAGGATTTCTTGAGGCCAGGAGTTCAAGATCAGCCTGGGCAACATAGTGAGACCCTGTCTCTACAAAAAACTTTTTTTTAATTAGCTGGGCAGTGGCCTGTACGTATAGTCCCAGCAGTTCAAGGCTGTAGTGAGCTATGACTGTGCCACTACACTCCAGCCTGGGCAACAGAGCAAGAACTTGCCTCTAAAAATATCTTAAATAAATAAATAAAAATGCTCTTCGTAAGGCCCAAATATTTTCTAGGGACATGTGCTGTTACCAAAACTTGGCACTTGTCCACGAGGCCAAATTAGAAAAATGAGGACAAGTGGTTTGGGAAGGAGGAAAGAGAAGTTTTATTACTTTGTCGGCAAAGGAGGAAAAATGGCAGACCTTCTCTTCTCAAAATCTAAATTTCCGGCCGGGCGCGGTGGCTCACGCCTGTAATCCTAGC